TCGTTCGGAGGGCATCCGCCAGACGTTCACGCTTCCGGCCTCCCCGCAGCAAAATGGGATTGCTGAGCGCCGCATTGGCATGGTCATGGACGTCGCTCGTACGTCCATGATCCATGCGGCTGCTCCCCATTTTCTGTGGCCGTTCGCGGTTCAGTACGCGGCGCATCAGATCAACCTTCAGCCTCGTGTCTCCTTGCCGGAGACCACACCTACTCTGCGGTGGATGGGGAAGGTTGGCGATGCGTCCGCGTTTCGTGTCTGGGGATCTCGAGCTTTTGTCCGCGATACTACCGCGGACAAGCTGTCCTCCCGTGCCGTTCCCTGTGTCTTCCTTGGCTTCCCTCCTGACGCACCCGGGTGGCAGTTCTACCACCCCACCTCGCGTCGTGTTCTGTCCTCTCAGGACGTCACGTTCAACGAGTCGGTGTCGTACTACCGTCTCTTTCCCTACCGCACTGCCTCTCCCCCCCCCCCGCCGCTCTTCCTCGCACCAGGTACTCCCCTGGTAGACCCCCTCCCCCCCCAAGGTCCTGCCCCCTCAGGTGTGTCCCAGGTAGACCCTGCCGAGCCGGTCGAGGTAGCTGTCGACTCAGGTGCTGCTGGGGGTGCTTACCCTGCGGGTGCGGGGCCTGGGGGTGCTGAGACTGGGGGTGCTGAGACTGGGGGTGCTGAGTCTGGGGGTGCTGAGCCTGGGGGTGTGGCGCATGAGGGTACTGCGTCTGGAGGTGCTGAGCCTGCGTGTGCTGAGTCTGGAGGTGCTCTAGGTGTCCCGTCGCGGCGGGAGCCCCTCTCTCCACAGCGGCTTCGTGTGTGGTACTCTCGGCGCTGTCGAGGTGCTGCTGGTGCTGGAGCTGCTGGAGGTGCTGGAGGTGCTACTGGAGCTACTGGAGGTGCTGGCGCTGCTGGAGGTGGTGCTGGTGCTGGAGCTACTGGAGGTGCTGCTGGTGCTGGAGCTGCTGGAGGTGCTGGAGGTGCTGCTGGCGCTGCTGGAGGTGCTGCTGGTGCTGGAGGTGCTGGAGGTGCTACTGGAGCTACTGGGGGTGCTAGCGCTGCTGGTGCTGGAGCTGCTGGAGGTGGTGCTGGTGCTGGAGCTGCTGGAGGTGCTGCTGGGACTGGAGACCCTAGGGCTGAGGGTACCGGTTCTGTCTCTGCTGTTTCTGGAGGCGCTGCGCGGCCGCGGCCGTACTACGTTCCGCTCCTTCAGCAGGTTCTTGGCTCCCCGCCTTCTCCTGGTCCTCCTCCTCCTTTCCTGAGTCCACCGACTGTCCAGTCTCCGTCGCAGTTGCAGCCGGCCTCTCCCCTGCCTGGTCCTTCTCCTTACTCTGGTCCGACTAGAGGTCTTACGGAGCGTCGTGAGCCTGAGTCTCGTCCTGTGTCGCCTGCGTCTCGTTCTGCGTCGCCTGTCCGCACTGTTCGTGCTAGTCGTGTTTCGCGTCCGTGTCTTCCTCCTGTCCCAGGCACTCACTCTATGACACTGCGTCCTTCTACTGCTTCACAGCGTGTCCCTCTGCCCTCTCCTCCTGCGTCCTCTCTTCCTGACGGTCCGGACCCGGAGTCTGACTCCCTTCGTGCTGCTAGTCCTACTGTCACGCGCTTTCTGGCCACTGCTGTCACTGACCCTCTGTTTGAGTCCTCTGCTGCGTCTGCTCTTATTGCTGAGCTTGTTGACTTTGCTGCAGCCTGTCGCCTAGATTACACCACTAGCCTTGTTGCTGAGTCTGCGTCTGTCTGTCCTCCGTCCGTCGGGGGTGAGTGTGCTCTTGGCACGGACGTCCTTGAGGACAGGCAGGAGGACCTTGAGTGCTTTGCCGCTGCTTCACCTCATCTTGTGTCCATGCTGCTTGCCCCTGAGGGAGACCCGGATGCACTAGACATCCCGACCCCGCGCTCTTACGCAGAGGCGATAGAGGGTCCCTACTCCTCTCAGTGGCAGGCAGCCATGGACGCAGAGATGGCTTCCTGGAAGTCCACAGGCACCTACGTAGACGAGGTTCCCCCACCTGGGGCGAACATCGTCAGTGGCATGTGGATCTTCAGGGTGAAGCGGCCGCCGGGTTCTCCGCCTGCCTTCAAGGCGCGTTACGTTGCACGTGGCTTCAGTCAGCGACAGGGAGTTGACTTCTTTCAGACCTTCTCCCCTACCCCGAAGATGACCACTCTTCGGGTACTGCTGCACGTTGCTGCTCAGCGTGACTACGAGCTTCACTCGCGTGACTTCAGCACAGCCTTCCTACAGGGCAGCCTGCATGAGGAGATTTGGCTGCGCCGCCCACCTGGCTTCACTGGGTCGTTTCCTGCTAGTACCCAGTGGAGCCTCCGGCGGCCAGTCTACGGTCTCCGCCAGGCGCCCCGTGAGTGGCACGACACACTCAGGACGACTCTTGCTGCTCTTGGTTTTGCTCCTTCCACTGCTGACCCTTCTCTGTTTCTACGCACTGACGCTACTCTGCCGCCGTTCTACGTTCTTGTGTACGTAGACGACCTTGTCTTTGCTACTGCTGACACGGAGGCACTCGCCCACGTGAAGTTCGAGCTGCAGAAGAGACACACGTGCACAGACCTGGGTGAGCTGACAAGCTATCTTGGCTTGCGGATCACCCGGGACAGAGCGCAGCGCACCATTACCTTGACTCAGTCACACATGGTGCAGCAGGTCCTTCAGCGCTTCGGCTTCACCTACTCCTTGCCACAGTCCACTCCTCTGCCTACCGGTCACTCGCTCTCAGCTCCACCTTCGGACGAGTCCGTAGAGCCGAGTGGCCCGTATCCAGAGCTTGTGGGCTGCCTCATGTACCTGATGACTTGCACACGACCTGACCTCGCATACCCTCTCAGCCTTCTGGCTTGCTACGTGGCTCCCGGCAGGCACCGAAAGGTGCACTGGGATGCTGCGAAGAGGGTGTTGCGATACTTGTGCAGTACTTCGGGCATGGGGCTCGTGCTTGGAGGACGGGCTCGAGTTGTCCTCACTGGTCACGCTGACGCCTCCTGGGTTGACGACTTGGCTACGCATCGGTCGTCACAGGGTTACACCTTCAGCCTTGGCTCCGGTTCTGTCTCCTGGCGGTCTACCCGCTCTTCTTCTGTTCTCAGCTCCAGTTGTGAGGCTGAGATCTACGCTGGGGCCATGGCTGCACAGGAGCTTCGCTGGCTCACCTACCTGCTGACCGACTTGGGAGAGGCGCCTCGTTCTCCTCCAGTTCTGTACGTCGACAACAAGGCCATGCTGGCCTTGTGTCAGGAGCACAGACTGGAGCACAGAACGAAGCACATTGCTCTGCGCTACTTCCTTGCTCGAGAGTTGCAGCAGCGTGGCCAGCTTCGTCTTGCTTACGTGGCCTCTCAGGCCAACACTGCTGATGTTTTCACCAAGGCACTTCAGCCTTGTGATCATCAGCGTTTCTGTACTGTGTTAGGCCTTGTACCTACTGTGCCTCACTTGTTGACTTCTTGACTCTGCTTGTACTGTACTCTATATACTTATACCTGCATGCTTACACTTGCTAGGTTGTGTTCACTGTACTGTTTGCTTTCCTTTATATAACTCTGCATGTGAACTGTCCTTATGGCCCTTTGCTTGTGCTCAGACTGTGTGGTGACTTTGTGATCCACCCTGAGCTTGCTTTGCTTTTCTTGACTGGTCTTGTGACCTCTTGTTCTCCCCCACTTTGCCTATGGGGGTGTGTCAAACTTATATCTGCTATAGTCTATTTAGGCTGTAGTGGGGTAGTTCTTAGAGGGTACAACACTTTTGTGTTTTCTACTTGTACCCATCTCATTCCTAGTTCATTCATTCTTTCGTCAATTATCTCACAGGAGGGTGACACGGGATTGGTTCTAGGGGTGCAGCAGGGGGTGTGTGAAAGGGGAGTGGGACAGTTGGGGTAGGTTGAAGGGGGGTGGCCGCCGTGAAGCCAACAGCTCCAGTCGCCCGTGAGACCGTTGCGCCAGTCGCCCGTGAGCCCGTCGCTCCAGTTGCCCGTGAGCCCGTTGCTTTAGTCGCCCGTAGGTCCGTTGCTCCTGCCGCTCAGAGTTAGCCGCGGAGCCAGTTACTCCAGTTTCTCGTGTGCCAGTTGCTCCAGTTGCCAGTGTGCCAGTTGCTCCAGTTGCCCGTGTGCCAGTTGCTCCAGTTGCGCTGTGTGCCAGCAGCTTCAGCTGCCGCCCACTACCTCCTCTCCTCTCATAGTCCCTCCTCCTCCACACTTGCCCTCTGTGATAGCTTCTAGCTTTGCTGATATTTGTGAACTATAAATTGCTGCTTGTTGTGCTGATCATACCCCACTTTGACTATGGGGGTGTGTCAAAATGTTATATTTCTCTAGTCTGCAGTGGGGTACTCTATAGTGAGTACAGCCCTGTTAGGGTTTGCTATATGTACTCAACTTCCTGCTAGTGAAACCCTTCTTCTCTTTTTTCATTTCTCTTTCTTCCATTTCTCTTTCGTGTACCCTAAACCCTAGCCATGGCTACTAAGTCTTAGCTAGGTTTCTAACAATCTAAGTTGGAATATACACTACTTTGCTTTTGCGTTTTGCGTTTATACGCTTAACGAATTCGTACGCTGCGTATAATTTGAAAATTCGCCGTGTAGAATTTCTGGCAGACTGAAAAAAAAAAAAAAAAATCAATCTGAATCTCGCGACGTGGCGATCTCTATTTTGAGTCGCAGATTTCGCGAACTGAACTCGATTTTTGAATTTTGAGCTCCAAACCTCCTCAACCCCACCCCTCCACTGTTTCACACCCCTTTAAACCACAGCATTCCACCACCCCCTTCAACCACTACTTTATTGGTTGGGAGCTCAACCCAACCCAATCTCCCAGGCATAAACATTGGCATTTGTTCACTCGACATTCATTCTCTCGCTTCCTATTCTAGCTACCTCTTCTTCCCAGCCACCATGGCTGCTACTCCTACAGCAACAAGTTCTCGTTCTACACCTTCAGAGGCTCTTGGTAGTTCCACTGGAGGGACCTCTTCTGTTACGGCTTTGGTCTGCATGGACAGCAAGCACGCTGTGTACCGCCACTTCAAAGTGCCGGCCGACAGCGTTGGCGAGAACGGCACCAAGGTGTGTGCCTACTGCAACTTCAAGTTTGCTGGCGGGGTTTACCGCTGCACGCAGCATATCACCGGCTGGAACGGCATGCGCCGTCGCGAAGTGCACCTCTGCACTGCAGCGCCGAAGACTGCACGTGACACCGTGAAGGCGCTTTACGAGTCCAAGTTGAAGGCCCGTGAAGAGAAGCGTGCGGCTGAAATTGCGGCGGTCGGCGCAGTCAATGGCGGAGGTTCGGACAAGAAGAAGAGTCGAATGTCCGACTTCTACGGCGACGACGCCACGTGCGCGAACCAAGCTGCGGACGAGTCCATATGCCTCTTCTTCGCCGCTCTTCATCTGCCGGAGCATCACGCGGACCACCCACTGTGGCGGAATGTAGTCTCAAGCATTCAGCGCGCGGGGCAGAATTACATCCCGCCGAAGAGACACTACATCGGTGGCGCCGGTCTTGCAAAGTGTCGCCAGCGCATTGAGGCGGCTCTCGCTCCTATCTCAGCAAGCTGGCGCCGTGATGGTGTGACCGTGGCAAGCGACATGTTCTCTGACAAGGCCGGCCGCCCGCAAGCCAATGTGCTCCTCATCAACGATAGCGGAGCGGTGTTCGTGGAGTCGATCGACACCAAGATGGAGATGAAGACCGGCGGCTACATCGCGGGCATCTTGCACCCCATCATCGAGAAAGTTGGCCCCGAGAACGTCGTCGCCTTGTGTTTTGACGGCGGCTCCAATTACGCGGCGGCATGCAGGGAGTTGATGACGGAGTATCCCCACATCGAACACATCCCTTGCGCGACCCATGTCCTTGATCTCCTGATGGAGGACATGGGGAAAATGGGATGGGCGAAGGACATCGTCACGCGCGGGGACACCCTCATCTTGTTCGTCCGCAACCATCACTTCACCCGTGGATACATGCGGAGCGAGCTCGTGAACGGCGGCAAGGGGAAGCAGGTTCTCAAGCCCGCGGGAACCCGATTCGACACCAACTACATCGCCATTAACCGCCTCTGTGAAGAGCGCGCCGGCCTGACGCAGATGGCCCTCAGCGATGAGTGGTGCGAGTGGACAATGGCTGCAAAGAGGGTTGGGGCAGATACCTTCAAAGACAACATCCTCGATGCCACGTGGTGGACGCGCGCCGAGTTCTTCGCGAAGCTGATGAAGCTCCCGTTCGTTGTCATGCGCAAGACTGACTCGGATGCGAAGGGCATGATGGGTCATCTCTACGACCTTATGCTCCAGCTCACCGAGGACATCCGCGACTTCCTTGACGAGCATGCGGAAGGGGTCCTGTTAAGGGGAGAGGTGGGGGAGATTCGGAAGATCGTGCAGGACCGCTGGGACAATGGGCTGGCGTGCAACATGCACGTGATTGGCCGCATCCTCAACCCCCCCAACCAGGAAGAGGGCATCTTTCGCACCGACCTGGAGTGCACGAGGGTCTTCAAACAGTACGTGTCCAAGCACTATGACGACCAGACAGTCACCAGGAAGGACGGGGTCGAGCGCTGTGCCTCTCTCGTCATCCAGGAAGGCCTCAATGCCTTCCTCAACCTCCAAGGCAGCTTCGGCATGCTCGCCGCTCTTGCCGACCGTGAGGCAGTGAAGGAGGGCAAGATGACCGCGGTGGCCTGGTGGTCGTGGCACGGGACCGAACATCCGGAGCTCACCACCATGGCTTGCCGCGCCCTCACGCAGCCGGTGTTCGCGTCACCATGCGAGCGGAACTGGGCGAAGTTTGATGCCGTGCATACGGCACGCCGGAACCGGCTCGGCACGGAGAAGCTTCGGGACCTCGTGTACGTGACGCACAATTGGCAGGTTGTGCATAACTGGCACAAGGTCCCTGAAGGGCAGCGGGTGGTGAAGGGAAACATCGAGGACCCCCCCACTCCGGCTGGCTACAAAGTCGAGGAGGAGGTGGAAGAACCTGAGGTGGGGGAGGATGATGTGATGGCCGATGAGTACTAGCGGAAGGCTCCATGCATGAGCGGCAGGCGGGGGATCAAGGATGGACATGTAGAGTAGGGGAAGGGGTGGTAGCATGAATGTGGTGGAGGAAGATGTAGTGGTAAATTAGTTTTATGGGTTTTTTTTTCTGTAACTTTCATATTAATAAGCGGACATCACCCCCCCATCCCCACCTCTTACCCCAAAAATCTGCCCGGGACAAAGTTTTTCCCTGCCTGGGCAAGCGTATTCTTGTGCGTACCAGACCCCTCATGGCCAGCGTCTAGCGTATATACTCTCGCGTATATACGAGAGCGTACAAAACGCTAAACGCGTTTATTCCAACTTAGGCATCAACCCTAAATCCATGCCTCCCTGTGTTTAGGGTTGATGCCTCCCTGACCGGATGCATGCCCGAATGGGTTTTATTTGTTTTGCCCACGGGCAGAGAGCTCCCCCGGGCGGACTCGCTTGTCCGCTGAGATATATTCGGCATCAGCCCTTTTACTTGGGCAGTTCAAAAAAAAAAAGAGAACAGATGGGACTCGCCAGTTGCATATTCCATACGTGGGGTGGGGACCACAACTGACACAGTCCCCTGAGTCGTGATGTGTTCGTCGTTTCTTTGACTTAGTAGGCAGGGTATGAAATGCTGTAGTTGCTTCTCGGTTTGACCTGAACGTGGGAGTGGTTATAAACCCCAACTGTCTTGTGGTTGGTGGTGCAGGTGTGGGTCCATCCAGGAAACACATTCACACACCGGGTATGAATTCTGATTCCGTTAATTGGGAATATCTCAGCGGAAACGGGTCGTCAAGCCTGACGACCTGTTGACGACTTGACGACATGCTGCCCCGGGCAGAAAAAAAACTAAAACCCTATCGGATGGCATGCCATCCGAGGGAGGCATCAACCCTAAATCCACGCCTCCCTGTGTTTAGGGTTGATGCCTCCCTGACCGGATGCATGCCCGAATGGGTTTTATGTTTTTTGCCCGCGGGCAGCGAGCTCCCCTGGGCGGACTCGCTTGTCCGCTGAGATATATTCAGCGGTTTCCCTCAGTACAGCTTGAAAGACTACACCCATCCCGTTTTCTGTGGGTTGTGTGGGGACCACATCTGACCAGTTCCGTGCAACCCTAAAGTCGCACGGCCCCATCTCAATCACGCCCGAAAGCGTCGCGCCAGGTTACAGCCATCTAGACGAAAGACACTCCCGCGCAATCCTTCTCGCCTTGAAAAACTTGTTTTTCGCCAGTCTGGGTTACTCCCACGTGGCTCGGAAGTCTGAAACACCGCAGCACAGCTGAAACCCGCCCTACTGCCGTCAGTTTCCAGAGAGTTCCGAGGCCAGTTCTTGGGCAACTTCTGTATAGTAACTTCAACTGGTCAACGAATTACTGTTCACGACTTGTTAAGCAGAATCTAGCGTTTGTACGTAAACTCACAACTGAGAAATACCTTCACCCACCAGGAAATAGATTTCGTTCATCTGCAATATCCTCGGGCACACCTTGAAAATCACACCATGCGCTTCTCCTCAAATCCCAATCGTGGGGTGGGGACCACCACTGACACAATCGCCAAAATTGCATCGAACTGGGATGGGGAAAGGGATCTGACACACTGTTCATCATCTGCTGCACCCGCCTCTTGCCGCTAGGGTTTGCTCAAGCTCACTCCTCTGGAGGAGCAGAGAGAAAATCAACCCGCCGAAGAGAGAGTGGCTACCTAGATCCACTCCTCTACGAAGCAGTCCTAAGGGAAGGCCTGATGAACGGATCAGAAACCTACTATATTGTTAGTCACAGTTGGTCGCTGTAAGCTTTGAAACCTACCAATACGGTGTCTACTCTCTACGACGACCGTTCAAGCTCCTGCAAGTGCTCCTTCTAGTGGATGGCCCAGAAGTGGATCATAAAGGTGGCTGCGGACATGACGTGAAAGAGCTAGCCGTTGACCACGGTGGATCTGCTCTAGATTTCACCATCGACCACGAATTGGGAAGTTTCTTTTCTTTTTTTACGTTCCTAATGTTTGTTTCCGCTTAATGCTGTTTTTTTTCTCACATCCGCACGTCATTCATGCATCTCAATCCACCATCCCTCTGATTTGATTATCACCGCAGCGGACAGATGTATCCTCCTCGGTTTGGGTAGAGTTAGCATGGGTTTGGGTAGCAATAGTCTCCGACCCACTGCGAGCTGTGGCATATGAAATATCATGGATGCTTCCGCCATCATTCATTCACCTCCGCCATCATTCATTCACTTTGTTGTCGTTTTCGCTATTGTTTTGTTTTTCTCCGGTTTGCTCTTGTTTTTCGTTTTCTTGCAATTGTATATTCTGGCCACTAACTTCCTTTTTGTTTTCCTTTCGCCCGTCTCCCAGTGAAGAAGAACCAGCATTTCACACCTGCTGGAATTAAAAAGAAGTCAACCGGGTTGACCCGAAGGCTTCCCTTGGGATTTCGCCAACATCCGCCCTCCGCCATCCTCAATCCGCCTCCCCGCCAGCCACCAGCCCCCAACTCAAAGCCCAAGGTACGAATGGTCACATGCTTCTCAGTTTTGGCTATTGATGTCAATTCAACTTCGCGCTTTCTGTTTGCTATTGCATCCGTTTTCCTTGCTTTATCGTTGCTATAAACCTTATTGATTTCTAACTCGGTTTTGTGCTTTTCAGCAGGGAACCGAAGTGCTGCCTCCACGGGAGCTGCTGCAGTTGTCATCCGGCGCTGCTGAGATCGAACCCAAGTCACCAGGCGCTTCCGGAGCTGAAACGAAGTCAACCGCTCTGCTGGAAATGGTTAAACCGAAGGCTTCCCTTGGGATTTCGCCAACATCCGCCCTCCGCCATCCTCAATCCGCCTCCCCGCCAGCCACCAGCCCCCAACTCAAAGCCCAAGGTACGAATGGTCACATGCTTCTCAGTTTTGGCTATTGATGTCAATTCAACTTCGCGCTTTCTGTTTGCTATTGCATCCGTTTTCCTTGCTTTATAGTTGCTATAAAACTGAATGATTTCTAACTCGGTTTTGTGCTTTTCTGCAGGGAACCGAAGTGCTGCCTCTACGGGAGTTGCTGCAGTTGTCATCCGGCGCTGCTGAGATCGAACCCAAGTCACCAGGCGCTTCCGGAGCTGAAACGAAGTCAACCGCGCTGCTGGAAATGGTTGAACCGAAGGCTTCCCTTGGGATTTCGCCAACATCCGCCCTCCGCCATCCTCAATCCGCCTCCCTGCCAGCCACCAGCCCCCAACTCAAAGCCCAAGGTATGAATGGTCACATGCTTCTCAGTTTTTGCTATTGATGTCAATTCAACTTCGCGCTTTCTGTTTGCTATTGCATTTGTTTTCCTTGCCTTATCGTTGCTATAAAACTGAATGATTTCTAACTCGGTTTTGTGCTTTTCTGCAGGGAACCGAAGTGCTGCCTCTACGGGATCTGCTGCAGTTGTCATCCGGCGCTGCTGAGATCGAACCCAAGTCACCAGGCGCTTCCGGAGCTGAAACTAAGTCAACCGCGTTGCTGAAAACCGTCAACCAGCCACCAGCCCTTGATTCAAAGCCCAGGGTAAGAATAATCACATCCTTGTCACTTGTTGCTATTGCTTTTAATTCAATTTCGTGCTTTCAGTTTGCTACGATTTTCCTTGCTTTTCTCATTTTCTTGATGATAAAACGTCTTGATTCCTAACTCAGTTTTGTGGTTTTCTGCAGGGAACCGAAGTGCTGTGTCTGGAGTTGAAAGGAAGTGTAACGGAGCTGCTGCAGTTGTCACTTGGCGCTGGAACCCAAGTCACCAGGCGCCGCTGGAGTTGAACCCAAGTCATCAGGCGCCCCTGAAGTTGAACCTAAGGAGGCTTCCCTTGGGAGCTGCTGCAGTTGAAGTGAATGGAACTCCTGCTACTGGAGATGCATGGAGCTGCAAGGACCAGATCGGAGCTGCAAGGACCAGATCGGAGCTGCAAGGACCAGATCGGAGCTGCAAGGACCAGATCGGAGCTGCAAGGAGCTGCTGCTGCAACTGGCTTATACCTCCACCCTGTGCTGCTTGGAGGAGTGCTGCTGGGAGGTGCTGCTGCTGGGAGCTCCACCGCGCTGCAACTCAAGTAAGCTGTCTCCTTTCAAGTTGTCTCCTTGCATTCTACTCTTTACGCTGTTGCGAACTTTTATTCATTTTTTTTTCCCAGCCATGTCTATTTCGTTATACTGACTTTGTGTATTCGTCCTGTGCAGGCATGGCATGTCATGGCATGGCATGGTATGGCATGGCATGGGATGGCATGACCTGGCATGGGATGGGATGATATGGCATGGGTGACATGGAATGACATGGCGTGGCATGGCATGGGATGACATGGAATGACATGGCGTGGCATGGCATGGCATGTTATGGCATGGGATGACATGGCTTGGCATGGCATGGTATGGCATGGCATGGCATGGGATGACATGGAATGACATGGCATGGCATGGCAAGTCATGGCATGGCATGTTATGGCGTGAGATGGCTTGGCATGGTATGGCATGGCATGGTAGGGATGACATGGAATGAGATGGCGTGGCATGGCATGGCATGTTATGGCATGGGATGTTATGACATGGGATGGGATGGAGGAGCTGCTGGGAGGAGCTGCTGGGAGGATCTGCACTGCACGACGCTTCAACTTTCAGGCTGCGACCCACAAAGTAAGTTGCCTTTCTCAAGCTCTCCTTGCAAGCTGTCTCCTTACTCTGTTTAGCACTTGATTCAAGTTTCGTGTTTTCCCAGCCCTGTATATTTCGCTATACTGACTCGATTTGTTTGCCCTGTGCAGAAAACACGGATTCCGCCGTGCAATGGGGGCTGCCTGGGTGCTTCGACCAGGAGGGGGCTGAGCTGTGGCTGAGACATGGCCAAGGCTTGATGGGGCCTTGGAGTGGCAAGCATGAGTCAGACATGCAGCAGCGCTTTCCCACACTGGGGAGGGTGTGGGGGGCAGAGTTCGGATATCCGTTCCAGTGGTGCTGTGATGAGCA